ATCCTCTCTCTCGTTCGTTCACGCTGGAGCTTCGTCGTCGATCGTGTCTTCATCTCGGTCATCTTCTTCTTCGTCGCCTACATACATCTCCCCTGGAAGTTGTGTGGATTTGTTCTTTGTGGATAAGTGCCCAAACAACAAAACTCGTTCAGAAGGTCTTGTGCAGGTATCAAGTACTTGGAGTTCTTGAGCAGGAAATGTCCTTGATAAAGATTCGCAGCTTTAGCACTCAAATAACCATTTTGCAACATCTGTTGTTGCTGCTGCTGTTGATGTTGATGAACATTCGTGGATTTTCCGAAGAGTCCCTCTCTGGAACTCGACAAAACAAAATCAGGTTGTCTTAGCTCAAAAGATTGCAAGCCAATACTGGAAGGATTGTTTGAACTAAGAGAGAGTGAAAGACCTTGACTTGGCCTTTCGTTTCCCTCACAAGGAAACACACACCTCAAAGAAGAATAATCAACGAGTAATCTATTCTCAAGGAAGTTGTGTGGAGAGATTCCATTTGATGGAAAAAAGGATAGGGACACGTGTGATAACATGCAATCTGATATCTGTGATAAGTGGAGAGATTAAATTTTGGATTAAGAAAAATAATAACAATAGGTAAAGTCGGACACGTGTCATAACCTCTTTGTTTGTTTCCTTTTTGATTATTGGTTTACATAGTTGGCTAAGAAAAAGATAACAGTGCACCTGAGAATTGGGATGTTTTATTATTTATGTTACGAAATTTAATATTTGATTAGTATATAAGTTATTATGAGTTGTTATATGTATTAAATGTAAATTATATTATATATATTAAAAATATTATTTAATATCAAAACGTGTCCCAACGTGTCGAAATTTAGCATTTTTTAGAATTTACGTGTCGGAGTGTCGTGTCGTGTCGTGTCCCGTGTCCCGTGTCCGTGTCCGTGCATCATAGGTCCACACACAGCAGAATCACAATCTGTTTTGGACCAGCAATCAAATCAATTTTCAAACACAACAAGCATAAGACATAAAGACAACGCATTTCCTTTACGTTTCAAGTCTTTAGGCTTCTCACAAAGCCATAAGCCTTTAACCACTTAGGTTCTGACTTAAATTAAGTAATATAGAAGTTCAACTTCATCAATCTAGGGTCCACAAACCCATAACTCGGTTCTGTATGAATAGTACCGTTACTATTCTCGAAAACCCAGAATATCCGGATGTATGTCGGGGCCATATCCGGATATGCATATCCGGATGTGATCTTCGGATATCCATATTTGGATATCTACAGAGCCCATATCCAGATATCAATATCTGGATATCTACAGAGCTCATATCCGGATATCAATATCCGGATATCATATCCGGATATTTCACGACAAAATGCAGTTTCTGCATTTCGCGGGATATCACTCTCAAGGTTCCATTTTTAACACTTCTAAACGTTAAGGCATGCATCTTTAAGCCTATTAAGTTCATATACTAGTTGGTTACTTAAACAACTCATTAAACATGCCAAGACTCCACTTTTAACCATTAAAACTCATGATCAAGGTGATGAAGCTTACCCAAGCTTAAAACAGAGCAACAAAGGCTCTTGGAGCTCTCACAACAGCTCCTCAAGTTCTGACTTGCAAGGCAAACGAAAATGGCACACCAAAGGTTGGTTCTTTGCACAAAAGATGACTTTTTGACACCACAATGCCAAGCCAAAGGTGCACACACTCACCAAACTCAGAGGCAGCAACAACAACCCCTCTCACAGCAACCCCAACTCAGCAAGAAGTGCCCTTAATCCTCTCAATCACACACCCAAGTGTTTGCTCATCAATGGAGAAGGGAATCCACAAGAAAGGAGGAGTTTTGTTGGGTTTTCTCTCAAGGAAGGAAGGAATCCACACATAAGAGGCTGAATAATGCCCTAAAAATCTGTGCCATATAGTATATATAGGCAGTTAAAGGTTAATCGCACTTTATTAGCGCAAATAGCTACGCTTAGCATTTTAATCTAAAACTTAGGATTCTGAACCTACTCATTTTTCTCAGATTTTTCATATTTTTATTTTATTTTTCGTAGCACCTTTTTGGTACGCGCTTTTACATAGCCAGTATCTGTTCTGGCACCAGTTCTCATTATTTTCACTTGAAACTTGTTTTACAAGTCCTATATATTATTCTAGGAATATTCATGCACTTATTATAATTTTTCGGAAGACTTCATCGGTACGCATTTATACCGAGGAACAGAACTGGTATCTGCACTATTCATCAAAAAAGCGACTTTCAACATTATTAATTACTTTCTATAATTAATTAAGCCTTCTCATAATTATTAGGGTCAATTATGAAATTATTTCCTAATTTCTCATAATTAATTAATTAACTTCCTTAATTAACGGTGCGAATTCTTACAATTTGTGTTTTACCTGGGATTAATTTTACATATTTTTGTATGAATTGATCACTCTTATAGGAATTTGAGGGTTAGAGTTCACAATAGATATATTGGAATTTTAATCCTGACACAGGTGAAACACCAATTATTACATGATCTAGACTTATGAAGCACCGACACTTCAAAAACCCTGACGTGTCGTGTCCGACACTTCCGGACACTCTCCGACACTCCAAAACGCGTTATAGAAATTCAAAAAAAGATTCAAAGGTTGCATTACGTTGAGTTTTTAGTTCCAACTATTAGGGTCGTTGGATTACACTTTTTATTTTATTAAGTTTAATATAAATATTTGGGATATCTTATGTTTCTTTACAAAATTGATGAATATTATAAGTTTAGTTTCATTTTTTTGTTAAATTATTGAATATTAAATATAATATACACTACATAAATTAAAAATATTATTTAATATCAAAACGTGTCCTAACGTGTCGAAATCTAACATTTTTTAGAATTAACGTGTCGGAGTGTCGTGTCATATCGTGTCGCGTGTCCCGTGTCAGTATCGGTGCTACATAGATCTAGACATAGCCTTGCAAGAATTATTAAGACATTAGGGCTCTAATTGGGTTAAAGGGTTAAAGTCACGAAGAAATTAGAATTTAACTAATTAATTAATTAGAAGATGAATAGTTTGAAATAATTGAGATAGTTTATTATTGAAATTAATTTAAACTACTCTAGAAGGATCAGAGGTGAGCTACAGTCTCCGTTATTAATATCAAACTCAGTTCTAATTCTCTGCGTTTTTGCCTTAGTTCTGAATTCTTTGCAATTGTCTTTATTTCTATTCTTATTTTAATTCAAAATCACTCTTCTCTACACCCATTGATCTATCCAAATTTAAGGGACTAGTGAGAATAGTACTTGGTGCATTTAATCCTCGCGGGACGATACTCTACCCATTCTTTATTACTTGTACGATCGATATACTTGTCGTCATTGGAACAAAACCAAACCTACACCAACATAACTAATTACTAATTGGAAAACCAAGATAGAGGGCAGTTAATCCAACACTAATTAGGAAACCAACACTAATTAATTACACCAAAACTAACCAGAATGATCTGTAATTAATCCTTTTGTTTGTTTGATGTTTTCCTTGTATTTCCAAAACAAAACAAAAAAAATTGGAAAACCATATATATTGCATATTCCATCTTCATGTAATGAGTTTAAAACAAAGATAACAGTGAAATGTCAAAATCAATACCATCAGAAAAGTACTTTCAAAATTTGCAAACTGTGAACTGTCACAAACTTTGCTTAATTTTATAAAATTAATTTTTGGAGAAATATTATATTTACAAATTTTTTGTTTACAAATTATACTATGTCTTACAGGTAAGACACTCTTGAATGAAATTTTACCAGTAAGATATAATGTAACTTGTAAGTTTGTAAAAAAAAAAAAAATTATCAATATAATCCTCTTCTAATTTATATATATCCTTCTCACCAAGCGATATGATTGGTGTAAAGGGAGTGTTATATATAATTAAATTAAAAATAATAATGAATCATATAGCTGAAGTAGTGTATATATAATAGAAATTTTACTTTTAAAAACACCGAAAAGAATTTCTCATTTTCCCTCACTTTTGCGTAGAAATATTGAAATTTGAGATATAATTAAATATTGAAAATTAGTATAACATCAAATCCATATATATCACAAATATTGCATATATTAAAAAAGAAAATGAAATTTTTCATGTATAAATTTCAAAAGACTTGATTATAAATGTGAAAATTTTGGTTTTTTTTTTACAAACATGAAATAAGTGGGACTCTTCAAAAAAATAAAAAATAAGTGGGACACCATCAATATTTATCAATATTCAAAAGATAGAGAAATATATGTAAACTAAAATAAATATATAATTTTCACAAACCAAGTCATATAAAATTTACACATGAGAAATCCATTCATGTGAAAATGAAAATTTATTATCTCAATTTGCTTCAAATCATTTAGTACGGCCAAGCCATACACGTGAAGCACTTTAATTATTTTATATATATATACAAGCACTTTAATGTTATGGTTCACTTTTTCTGCAGTTACTGTATATAAGTTATCTGCAGTAAGCTTAATACGACGTCATTTTGGGACAAAAATAATGTTATTTTTGTAATTTTAATTTATTTCAGGGTTATTATAGTCATTACAATTATAATTTTTTAATCTTTCAATTCTAAAACGATGTCATTTTAAAAATAAACGTAGATAACTTATCTACATAAACTGCAGAAATCTTTTTCTGTTAATTTTATGTACAAGAATAGCATGACTATACATGAAATAGGATAGAAAGTAGCTAACAATCATTTGTTGCATTAATTATATAAATAGAATTTAAAAAATAGCTTAAAAACTTACTTGCACCGGATATTGGACGAGATTTAAAAGCTCCTTATCACAATACCAAATAATTATTACATATATTCTGTCTTCGTGTACTAAGTTTAAAACAAAGGACTGGAAAATGGGAGAGGGGGCTCAATATGTGATGCTCAAATAGAAAGGTCACCACTATCAAGCATATGGATATTATGCCTTAACTTGAATAACTACTTTTCCAATATTAGAGCTAGAAAATAAAGAGCTAAAGCTGTCTAAAAAGCTTTCAATTCCGATATTTATTTTATTCTTGGACTTAACCTTGCCTTCTTTTATGTATCCCTCCATCTCTTTAGAAAAGTCTCCAATGCGAGTCAAATATGTTTCCACCACAAAACCCTCCATCCTCACTTCTTTGCCAACCATATTCAGAAGATTCCTGACGCCTTCTCTTTCAGTCCAAACCTACACCAACATTAACTAGTTACTAATTGGGCAACCAAAATACATATACAAGAAAAATTCTTGGAGTGAACCATGCATGCTAATAGGTTTAAGTTGCAATTCAAGAGAAGATCTAAATAATCACAATATTCTGGACTTTGGAACTAATCCTAAAGCAGTGAAATCAGGTTAGTTTGGTTGAACCACTTCAAGTCGGGCCTAGTATATTTTGTCAAAAATTTATGTCTAGTCCTACTCAATTCAAACTATTAGGTTGCTCCAACCCAAAGACCCAAATATTCTTTTTTAAAAAGCAATATAAAAAATCGAATCTTAAAAAATTTAAATAAATGAGAATATATAGTATAAAATTAGAGTAACTTGGCTTAGGCTAATGAAAATAAATTAGGGAGGAAAATTGACATAGTTGGCTCTTAGATGATAGTTTATATAATAAAATATAGAATAGATTTTTGGCTAATGGGCCCGACCCAAGATGCGTCAAGCTAGAATAAATTGGGCTAGAAAATTTTGGGTTGATTTTGTTAGTCTGACTTACACTTATATTTAAAAGCGTGTTTGGTATATGAATTTTTTTTTTTGGAATACTGTAAAAGTGAGATGGAAAAAATTATTTTCCCACGTTTGATAGGAGGAAGACTAAAAATAATCCCAAAAAAATCTTTTTTCCATGATTTTGTTTTACACAGGCTGATTCCCATCGAAGAATACTGATATGCCTTCAGCATATATATGATTTTAAGCCAAAAAGAGCAAGGATCTTGATTAATCTTGAATGAAAAGGCCCATAATTACCATTAAACTGATAAATCCTAACCAGGTATATTGTCAATGATTTTCTTATATTTTTGTAGGAAAAAGAACGAGAAAGGGGCCCAATTAAGAAGGATAGGAAAACACAAGATTGAATCCACTGCGCTACTAGTGCGGTACTGGCTCTATCAGCGCCAGAATTATCTTTCAGCACAGTGCAACCATGCTATCAGCGCGAAGCTGCTGCCTCCAAACAAAATTCCCAAGCTATCAACGCCATATATCAGTGCCAATATGGCGCTAGTTGCGCGGAAAGCACGTGACAATTTTAAACCCTACATCAAAGGGTATCTGGAGGAGATCTCAATTGGAAGATATGATCAGGATTTCAAAACAAGGGAACAAAGTCTATAAAAAGAGACTAAGCACCCTTAGGCAAGCATCTTTGGCTGGAGAGAATTGTGAGGATCAAGAAATCAACTGAGTTTTTGGAGGCTCACGCTGGAGATTAGAATTTCGTAGAATTTGAAGACTGAAGACAATTGATCTTTCTTCTTCATCTTCTTCTTTTAATTCTTTGTTATGAATTTTTTATTATTTTGAATTGCTAAAGTTAGATATGTCTGGCTAATTTTTTTTGTAGTTGGGATCACGGACCCAATGTGAATCTTTTTTAGTTTTTAAATTGTTTTTATAATTAATTTAATTAATTTAATTTTATTCTACCTGTGTTAATTATTTCTCATCCTTTCTAGAATTGATCGCTCTATTATAGGGTTTTGAGGGTTAGAGCTCTCAATAGGAATATTGGAGTTTTAATCTTAACAAGGGTAGAATAACAATATGTGCATGATCTAAGACATAGGCTTACATAGATTGCAGACTTTTAAATTTATTTACTTAATGCTTGATTCAAGAGGAATTACTAGGACTCTAATTGGGTTAAATGGTTGAATACACTAAGACATTAGGGTTCAATTATTTAATAGAAAAAGAATGAATTGTCGGAGCTAATAAGTTAATTAGTTTTAAAATTCAATTTAGAAATATAAGGGAGGATCGGAGGAGAAGTGCGTCCTAACTGCAGTTTTCTTTACAATCTTAATTACTCATCTTTTTCCGAATATTCTTGATTATTATTGAATGTTGTTGATTATTACTGTCTTTAAATTACAGTTAATAATTATTTTCTCAATTAAACAGAGTTTTCCAAATTAAGGGGAATAATTAAAGTAATAATTGGTGCATTAATCCTCGAGGGAACGATCTTTACTTATCACTTTATTACTTGGAACGAACCGTATACTTGTTGATTTCGCAACAAATTTTTGATTTCTGGCGCTGACAGCACCAATTTGGGAATTGGGGCGCATACCATATGCGATAATTGCTAACTGCGAAATTACACAACAGAGATGTCTAACAGAAGAAGAAAAATTTGTTAAAAAGGGGAGATACTTTAACCTTTTTCTTTTTCGTTTTGATTGATTTTTATTTTATTTTCTCTATAGTAATAGATTTTTGAAAAAAAAAATACAACATTCCTGGGTTTGAAAAAAGCTTAATCAGTGACTAAATTGATTCAATCATAAGAAGTATAGGTGATATTTGTGGAGCAATAATAGGAATTAATGTCATAATCTGTGAGGAATGATTGCTCGTTGAATAACTTCTTTAGCGAGGAATTTTTAAATAATGCTTGATGTGAAATTTTGAAATTAGATTCTAGCTTGAAATTAAATCTGTGAGGATTGAGCCTAAACAGTAAATTTCTTCAAAGAGTCCTCACTGTTTTAGTCTTCTAGAACTTGATCTGTTTCTCTAGCTTGCATGCATTGCTGATATGATAAAGACACATTTATTCTTATTAACCTTGAGCCAAATAGCCTACCTAGAAGAAATTTTCCATTGTCAGCCCTTTTGAGCCTTAGATCAATTGATTCAAAAACTTGATGAAAGTTACTTAACCCTGTTTCAATTGACACACCTTGAAAGAGATTGAAATGTTGATCAAAGGAAAAGTAAGGTACTTCTCAATGAAAAGTTAAGTAAGTGAAAGGGAAAAGAAGAATGGTCTGCAAAAAAGCAATTCAAAAGAGAAAAGAAAGAAAACATCTGCAAACAAGGAAAGAAAGAGGTAGTAAAAAAGGAATAAGAATCCCGAATTGACGAAAAGTGGCAGAATTATGAATTGAGAAGAAAGTATTGTTAGAAATTTCAGTGTTTCAATCTCAAATATTAATCAGCCTCTGTCCAAAAAATTCTTACCCCCAAACCAGGCCAAGATACAACCCTTAAAGACCTTTTTATTAGTTTATGCATGTCAAATGTGTTCCTTAATCTTAGGAACCTGAGAATACGATCAAGCCTATGAAATTACTACTACACTGATGGAATGAGTGTTGAAACCTTCAAACACTAGAGCGATGAGAGTTACATATATCTAGTGAGGAACATTCAAGTTATAATCTGAATTTCTTGATTAAACTAAAAAACATTGTTTCGAGTTCTCAACAGCGAAGTTATACATGCATAGCATTCTGATCTCTTAAGATGTCTGTGTTCCATATTTTTTCTCCACGTAGTTAATCCTTGCTATCTCCTTTTGATCCAGTTTATTGCTGAGGACAGTAATATCTAAATCTGGAAATTGTTTGATATGCCTCCAACATATATTAGATGATAGTTTATATAATAAAATATAGAATAGATTTTGGGCTAATGGGCCCGACCCAGGATGGGTTAAGCTAGAATAAATTGGGTTAGAAAATTTTGGGTTGATTTTGTTAGTCTGACTTACACATATCTTTAAAAGCGTGTTTGGGATATGAATTTGTTTTTGGAATACTGAAAAAGTGAGATGAAAAAATTATTTTCCCATGTTTGATAGGAGGAAGACTAAAAATAATTCCAGAAAAATCTTTTTCCCGTGATTTTGTTTTACACAGGCGAATTCCCATCGAAGAATACCATTGATGGAATGGTATTATTTTTTTCCACCTCGGTGGGAAAGGAGTCACACTTATCTCATACCAAAATACCATTTTGCTTTTTCTCAAGTACCAACTCTTTCTTTTGTTGCATCGTCTATATGTATGAATGATATTTGCATATGCAGATCTTTGTAATTCAACTGCTAAAATTCCTTGGTTCTTGCGGAGGGAATCATCATTCAAAGCATGGAATAATTTGGTTTTCTTTTTCTTCCTCCAAATTAATGCATATGTTGTAATTGCTCCCAATACTACAACACCACTAGAGACAGTTAAAATCACAACTAACCTTGTCTTCTTTGTATTATTTCCAACTTTGTTCAAAGTTGAGTTGAATTCCCATGACAGAAGATTATGGCTTTCTCCATACTTAATTGTTGCAGCAGAAAATTCGACTGTGACCCATTCCTGGTTGTAGAACTGTAGCCAATCCAAACCTCAGTAGTGTCTCCACTGTGTAGACTAGCATTCCAACTATTCAATACTGATGAAGAAATGGAATTATTTCGAGGGTAATTTTGTAATTTCGATTCAGATTCCCAACAATATTTTACAATCAACTACATAGCATCAGCAAAATTAAACTAAGGGTGCGCATGACAATCTTCCCGGAATCAATTTTTCTTAATTTATGTTCCCGGTAACAGAAATGGATAGAAAACTTGTTTGGTAGAACCGATTTACTTTTTTGTTCCCGGGATGAACCGGTTAAATTTTTGTGCTGAAAAATAGAAAAAGAATCAAAAAATTTCTACTTTTTGTTCTCGGACGCAAAATGAGAAAAACTTATTTCTCTTAATCACTCTCCACCACTATCATCATCATCACCACCACCATCATCCGACATGACCATCGCCACCATCGTCGCTGCTGTCGTTGTACCACCAATGTCGTCGTCACCACCACCACTACCACCATGACGAAGCCACCGCCACCATACCACTACCACCACGATGATGTCATCGCCACCACAACCACTACCACCAAGATAATGCCATCGCCACCGCCACCACCACCCCCACCGTCATCACCACCGCCACCACTGTCACCACCACCACCGTCACCAACCACCACCACCATCATCGCAGCCACTACTGTCAACACCACTACCATCGCCACCACTACCATCATCAGTACCACCACCATCATCCCGACATGACCACCGCCACCATCATCGCCTCCGTCATTGTACCACCAATGCCATTGTCACCACCAATGCCATTGTCACCACCACCACGATGCCACACAACCATCACCACCACCATCATCCCGACACGACCGCTGCCAACATCATTGCCGCCTTCGCCGTACCACCAGTACTGTCATCACCACCACGACGATGTCACCGCCACCATCAGCGCCACCTCCATCCATCGCCACCATCACTACCACTATGCCACTGTCACCACAGCCACCACCACCACCACCACCACCACCACCACCACCACTACCATCACCACGCCACCGACTGCCACCATCATCGCAGCTACAAATGTCACCACCACCATCGCCACCACTATCGTCACTGCCACCAACACCACCATTATCGCAGCCATTGTCGTCACCACCACCACCATGTCATCACCATTGCCGTCACCACACCATGTCATCACCATCGCCACCACCATTATTTTTTATTATATTATTTGTTGTGTTATCAAACGCTATTCTCATTTTCGGAATAAAAATAGAACATGTCATCAAACATTTTTTTTCTCCGAAACTGTTCCAAGGCCCAGAAATAGAAAAGAATTGTTTCTTTTCGGAAACAATGCCAAGAAATAAAATGGTTGTTATGCACACCCTAATATTATGGGGGGAATTTTGGCATACCAAACAATTTTTTAGTAACATTCCCGGGAAAAAAAAATTTCCACCATATTTTCAGAAATCATGAATTCCAGGTAAAAAAAAAACTATCCTCTACCAAACACCCCCTTAGATTAATTAGGCTAACCTGACTCATTCCATTTTACCAGTTTTGCCTAATCCTACCAAAACATATGTCTTTATAGTATGAGATTAATATTTCTCATGTTGTAAGAAATAAAATTTATCTTCTACGTACAAGTGTGTGGGGATCACATTTTCTTTTCTTTTTTCTTTATTCTTCTCACATTGCCCTACATGAGCCCCACACACTTTTATATGTGTGTAAGATATAAAATTATCTCCTGCAATATGAGAAACATTAATCCCATATAGTATAGGTTAAAAACTTCTCACGTTACATAAGAAAAATATCTTCTCCTACACACAATAAACATATGGGTCCCATTGAAAAGAGATAAGAAAAAAATTAGTGGGACCCACATATTTGCTGTGTATGTAGGAAAAGAAAGTATTATCATGTAATACGAGAAAACTTCAACTCATATAGTTGTTGGGTATGGCTCATACTACGCATTCAGATAAGGACTCTTGTTGGCGAGGCCAGCAGAAAGTCAACTGGGGTCTCGCTCGTAAAGGCCTGGAACTGTTGTGGGCCTCTGATTTATTATAATTTTTTCCTTAGTAGTTTGGGTTTGGGCTCATCGCTTATTTATATTCCCTTGTAAACCAAGTGACTTGTAATGAGTGGCGATTAGGTGAATATAGTATAAACAAGCTGAATGTAGTCTACATTGGATGAACCAGAGTAAATCACTATGTCAAATCTCTCTTCTCTTTCTCTTTACTAATTTTGATTTATGCGTGGATTTCCAACAATAGTATACACTTATATAATTACCACAATAAATATTGACTTGTAATAACACCAAAAATTGCCACTAATATAGGTTAAGAAAATTATGAATATATCTTCAGAAACCTATATTTATAGAAAGTCACTTTCATAATATTTGATTATTGATACGCACGAGTTTTGTCCAATATTTTCATCCCTTGAGTTAAAATAAGTTCAGATAGAATAAGATCCAGACATTGGACCAAAATAACCGCCCAACCATGAATAAATCTTTAATGTATCAAATGCACTAATTTACTTTGCGACACATCAAAAAAAATATCACATCATCTGAAAAAGTAGATGATGTGATATTTTTTGTCTACGTGTCACAAAATGAATGGGTAGATGTACTGAATTTTCGATGCATCTAATGCACTAAAGATTTATTCCACACACATATAGGAAAATATAAAAATCATGTAGGAAGGAAAATCTGGTTATGTTACAGATTATAACTATGTATTACGCGAAGTATATAATTGCAATATTAAAGTTATTTTTTCTCTTTCTGCCACATAACCCGAAAGCTTTCTGAGAAGAGAAAAAAATAGCTTTTAATATTATAACTATGTACTACTCGTAATACATAGTTATATTTTTTTGCAAAACCAAATTTCTTTTACGTAACATGACGGATTTCAATCCCATATATATATAGGGGTTTACATTTCTGCAGCTGCTGTACGTGCAGCAATCAAATACTTGCCATATATATACTTGAAAGCATTAAATGCGAGAAATTATAACCATACAAAGAATGAAAGCATTAAATGTGAGGAATCATAACCATACACATGTCGTTGTTGTACGTAAAGCGGCTGCAGAAATGATTTTACCATATATATATATATATATAAATATAATGAAGTGCGCAAATATGAGCCAGTTCAGTTCACCTTATTACAGTTCACCTTATTATACTGAGATATCATCCCGCAAAGTGGTATCCTGGCACACTTGTTGACATGGTTAAGTACAGCTTCAAGCATTTTACCTCCAACGTTGTCAAGGTAAACATCAATACCATCAGGAAAGTACCTGCAAAATTTGCATGCTATGAACTGTCACAAAATTTTGCTTAATTTCATACAATATATATCCTTCTGAACAAGCAATGTGATTGGTGCAAAGGGAGTGTTATATATATAGCAATATGAGAGGAAATGATAGTTGTGGGGAGGAGGGGAGAGGTAGATTACTTGCTTAAAGCGGCATCAAAATCTGCTTCCTTATTGTAGTTGAATCCATCATCATACCCAAATTCCTCTTTTATTAGCTTCACCTGAAAAATAGTTTAACGTAATTCAAAAGTACCTATAACTTTACTCAAAGAATAATAATAAGAAAGATAGAAGCATTAGAAATTGAAGTGTAAATGGAACAAACTTTGGTGCAATCGATGCATTAAAGTTCAGTGCCGTAGTTTATTTATCCTAGAATGTATAGGTAAATCTTAAAATTCTAGAAATTCACGCAGAATCTGCACACAGAAACTCTCAGGTTGTTTCCCGTATTCACAAATGGCTTGCTGAAGATTGGGATGTTCGTTGGGTCCACACATTTCGAGAAAATAACAGATATGCTCACTGGTTTGCTTCTAGGCATTTTGAGGATGATAATAATCTTATTGCTTATCATTCTCCTCCTTCTCCTTTGTTAGAGCTCCTTCTTCAGGATGCTTCTGTAGATCTTTTAATTTCTCGCGTCGTGTAATTTTTGTTTTGTTTGGGGCTTTTGCCCCTCTTTATTACAAAAAAAAAATAAAAAAATAAAAAAATAAATGAACTATTAATGTGAACTAAAGCTTGGTTCAACTACCACCTTTGGGAGCGGAGCAGGTGGGGTGAGAGTATGTGTTCGATTCTCCATAATATCACCTTTAAAATCTTAATCTTGAACCCGTCTTGAATCGGACTAGTCGCAAAACGATAAATCGATTGGAATATTTCGAAGAAAAAATGTTGTTCAACTTATCTTATGGATACACATGACTATAAATCATATCAGTCAATCGTACAAGCTGAGACCCGTAAGTTTGCTTTTTTATGATAATTAAGTACACACACATATATATATATAGAAGGTTATATTTATAAACTTTTTGAATTCAAACTCTTACAAACTACATTAAGTATGACTGGTCATATTTTAATCAAGAGTGTATGACCGGTCATACTTACTGTAATTTGTAAAATAAGTTTCTAAACGGATCCTTCCCCTATATATATATATATATATATATATATATATATATATTACTACTCAACTCAACCGTTGATTTCCGCTCATCCAACGGTTATAGCTTAAGAAGTCATATTAATTAATTAATTATTAAATACACTATAAATGACAACCGTTGATTTTCATCCATCAACGGCTGAGATGAGGAGTAAGGCTTAAAATTCTTACTCTGGAGTCAAAAGAACCCTCCCCATATATATATAATCATTGGATGAGCGAAAATCAACGACTAGGATGGGGAGTAAGACTTACAAGTCTTACTCTGGAGTCAAATGATCTCTCTCCATATATATATATATATATATATATATATATATATATATATACACACGCATATATATATACATATATATATATATATATTTGACACCAAATTTTAACTATTGATTTTCGCCAATCAATAGTTATCATTTATTGAGAATTAATAATTAATTAATGAGTTTGATAAGTTTGATTCTCAATAAATGATTACCATTGATTGGCGAAAATCAATGGATAGGATTTGGTATCAAATTTTAAAATTTGACACGGTTCAAAGAATCCTATATATATATATATATATATATATATATATATATATATATATATATTGGGAAAGATCATTTGACTCGAGAGTAAGACTTATAAGTCTTACTCCCCATCTTAACCGTTAATTTCCATCCATCCAACGGTTATAGTTTAGGAAACTATAATAATTAATTACACTATAAATGACAACCGTTGATTTTCATCTATCAACGGCTGAGATGGGAAGTAAGACTTAAAAGTCTTACCCTTGAGTCAAAAGAACCCTATATATATATATATATATATATATATATATATATATATATATATATATATATATATATATATATATATATATATATATATGGAAGGGGTTATATTTACAACCCAAATAGTTTATAAACTTACAATCATATCTTAATAGTTAATTTTCGTCAATCAACGGTTGTCATTTATTATAAATTAATAATTAATTAATAAATTTGATTTTTGAAAATCTTAACCGTTGATTGACAGAAATCAACGGTTAAGATATGATTGTAAGAAGTTTTAAACGAAAATAGGTTGTAAGCATGACCTTCCCCTATATATATATATATATATATATATATATATATATCCCTTTAAGATTTCTATAGTGAATGCAGATAAGTTATATATCCCTTTAAGATTTCTATAGTGAATGCAGACAAGTTATTTATATTTACTCCTAAAATGACGTTGTTTTAAGTTGAAAGATTAAAAAATTATAATAATAAAGAATATTAAAATATTGGAATAAATTATAATTACAAAAATACCTTGATTTTCGTCCCAAAATAATGTCATTTTGGACTGAATGAAAATAACTTATCTATATTCATTGCAGAAAAAATAAATCATAAATGTATATATATATATATATATATATATATAGTGAATGCAGAAAAAATAACTTATTTATATTCATTTTAAACTGAATGAAAATTCTTGGATATAACCGAAAACCCTAAACCGAAAAGCCGTAAGCCAAGAAAATTTTATATATATATAAGGGCCTAATATACTCAGTTCTTCCCGGTCTCCCTCTTTGCCTCGTTCTCAGCTTTCTTTTCAATCATCTTTTGGTAAAAGCAGCATATTAGAACCAGTAAGCACAGATCCAATCTTACCATCTTTGTTGTCTATTCGAAAGACTTGGAACTATTTAAACACTACCAAAGCGAATCAATCATAAAAAAGGAGGTGACCCGGTTTGTAGAGAAATCCGTTCTATCCCGAGCTGGTAATTAGAGTTAGAAGCTTCACAGCTTCCTCCCAATACCAACGAACCATGCGTAGAAAGATCGAATAAGACCTCGTGAAGATAAGAAAATGAGTCAAATCCGTTTTTGCATAGCTTGCATTCTCTTTATTCGCCAATGAACATCTACCTTTCGTCTGTAACGTGCATTTTTTGCTTTATTTAATGGATCACTTGAGTGAAAGCCAATGCGTTTTCCGAAAGGTATATATAAAATTTTCTTGGCTTACGGCTTTTCGGTTTAGGGTTTTCGGTTATATCCAAGAATTTAACTTGCCCAAAGGGATGAATTCATTTTGAGAATTATAATAACCGAAAATACACTGAAACTCAAAATTGAATTTGTTAGTATTTCAAACATCCGTTGATATCTAAAAAAAAAAAGAGTAGCTTTAAAAGAATGTTAACAAAATTATTTCATAAAAGAATTTTTTTTTTTCTAAAACATATTCAAACTCACTCTGAAATGAAAAATAAAAACGAAAGACAATTAATTAATTTTATTTCAATTAATTCTCTTTTTGAGAAAATTAATTAATTTGGTTCTGAATTCTATTCTCGTTTATGAAATTAAACAATATCTATCAAAACTGAAAACATACAAATTTTATATACTTTTTTTTTTGTAACTTACATAATTAATTACAAATTATTAAACTTTAATTATGTTGCTTTTATAAAATAAATTGATCAATTTTTCGTTTATATTGATTTGACGATGTTTTATCGAGTTTTTTAAGTTAATTTATTGTTAATTAAGTTATGAAAAGAAAAACAAAAATCAAGTTGACTATTTTTTAAACAAAAAAGTACTTGATTACGTTTAATTGTATCTGATTCGGTCTTCCAATATATCAAAATCAAGCTGATCTATTCCCATTAATTGGTATAAGAACTGTTTTTTTTTTTTTAGTTAATTTATCATAAACTAACCTTCCATTGAGAATAGCTAAGTATGATTTTATTTTATTTTTTAAAAAGTGAAAAAATAAACCCAAAATAAAATATTTAAGCACTTACTTTTTCGTCGGATCCTGTGCTTCCAATGACCCTACAACCTCTGAGCTTAGCCAATTGACCAGCAATCATTCCCACACCACCGGAAGCCGCAGATATGAACACATTTGAACCAGGTTTCGGGTTTCCCACCACCTCTATCCCCACCCATGCTGCAAACCCGGGTACTCCTGCATTGCAACACACCACAAGACGTTTATCATATATATGTAGGTACTCTTGCTCTCCGCTAATCTTGGATTTCTCATGAAAAAATTGAAATACAATACCCATCACCCAACTATTAAAAATATATAATATAAAATTATTCATGTATCTTTGCATTACAACTTTAGAGCCTTTATAATTAGTTAGTCTAATATTGGATCTATACTGTTTTTTATTTTCTAATAAATATTATGAAATTTCTTAAAATAAAATATGTGAGCGTGCGTATTATTTATTTTTCAAGTCTAAATCACTTTTACACGAGGATTATTTTAGAAATGCATAATGTAAAACGATTCATGTGTTTTCACTAGATAATTAAGTTGTTTTTGGAGAATTAATGACATCACACCTACCTAGGGAGCTTAGATAATCGGGCAATGAAATGCCACTTGCAGCATCGATTTTTCTAGCGATATGAGAGGAGGGCGTGACATAATACTCTGCAACGGGAGAATTTGGATTCAGAACAAGATCCCCCTCCTTATATTTACTGTCTTTTGATTGTTTTACCCTTCCAATCCCAAATGCTGTAATCACCTGCAACATATTCCTATTAATTAATAAATCACATATTCAAAAAAAATTATGTATGTTTGCACATATAAATATAACATATATTATTGGTTCATTTACATATGTATAAGTGGAATGTTATATTTATAAATTTTTTTGTTTACAAACTATGATCAGTCATATTTCAATTAAAAGTATATGACTGATCATACTTAGTGTAATTTGAAAAAAAAAATTATAAATAGATCCTTCTCTGTATATAATATACCTCATTAAGCTCAAATTGCTGAAAGCAAAGTCCGTCTATGGTTCCAGTGAGTCTGCTGCGTAGGTATGGATCTATGGAAATAAGCAGCGTCTCAATGGCAACATGGCCATCAGGAATTGAATCTGCGTCCATTGATAAAATGACAGTGCGGAGTTTAAGATGATCAGAAGTTGGAACACCGTGTGGAGCATAGGATACCATGTACCATTCTCTGCTTTCCACCATGAACATGTTCTCCTTTTCAGCCATGCTTATGCCACTACTACAGTCTATGGTTGTGGAGTTATATATTGATTCAGGTATGAGAACACATCTCCCATTCAACTAATATAATAATAATAATAATAGTACAAATATGCTAGTACAAATTTTGAACACAAAATATGCTTGTACAATTGTCCAAATATGCAGATACAAATATGCAGTTGCACCTAACACCTCTTCTTTAAAAAATTACATTAACATATTTGACCTTTAGTTTTCTTGCACCCTAAAAATCATTTTGTATTTGAAAGTTATTCTCTCTTTCTTTTTTGATGAATAAAGTTATTCTTTCTTTACTTACCTTCCTTTCTTTATGACTTCTACACCATTCCTCTTGTATATAGATTCCAAAATAAGGGGGGGTTCGCAATTTTCCAAACTAGAAGGATCTTATAATGTTGCATGTAATAAATGCTAATTTAAGATGATGTCAATAATATTAACCCTAATTTTGTGACAATATAAATTCAAAACTTGGCCCAAAAGTTTATTCAAGTCTTAAATTACTTGAAGGTCTTCAAATATGTTAGGATACTTAAAAATTTTAATGTTAAAATATTTATAAACTTTAATAAAATTATATATAATAAAATTACAAATTGCATATCTAAAAATTTAATGTTAAAATATTTTTAAAATTTATGTCTTAGCTTTTACTTAAACGGATCTTTTGATAAAGAAATTCCTTTTTTATTTAATAAAGTAGTCCGAGTATGGGTTAGGCAATTTGTTATTAAGAGAATGTTTGGTAGGTGAATTTATTTTAGATTCCTAGAGAATTGAGATTGAGAATGTTATTTCCCCACATTTGATAGAGGAATTTTGAAAATTTTACCGAAAAAATTATATTCTCGGGATTTGATATTACGAAGCAGATTCTCATTTTAAAATACCACTAAAATGGATGATATTCCTAAAATCCAACCGGGTGGGAAAATACATCAAATTTGTCAAGACAAAAATACCCTTCGCTACCGTCATTTTCTCTATGTTGTTCAACAACTCATCACACCTCTGCAATAGATTCTTCCCTTCCATGTATTCCTCCATCTTAAACCTCTACACCGCAAACAAGTTCATCTCATTCTCATTCACAATTGATCATGATCTGTTCATAAATTAATAAAATTTTGCTCTTGATTTTATATTATAAATGAAATCTCTGGGTTAGATTTACATAGGTATAAAAGATAAAACTCTGCTCAAATTTAGTATGAAAGGGAGAGAAGATGTGTGAATGAGACCTGAGAGAAAGGGGTTAGCTTTAGAGAGAGGAACCCCAGACGGCATTGAAGGCCATAATCCCAACCCGTCCATCAGAACAAACAACCAAGAAGAAGGTGCCTTTCCCTTTTATGTTTGATGTCTTGTTTCTTCTCTTTCTGAATAATACATTTATCAATTTTTTTTTCTTCTTTTTCTATTTTTGATATTCTGTAGCTAAATGCTAAGCAAAATTATATTATTGTGATTATCAATTTATCATTATATAAGGTCAACAAGAAATGCAGTATTACAGACTCGAAATAATTGGGAAGGTTAATTTTGTAAAATTATTATATATTTTAAGGAATATTTTACAATCAACCAAACATAGTATTAAAAAAATTGACTCAAATAAAAGAATGATGGTCGCGTAGCCCCACGCGTGCGATTTTTTTTCCTCTGCTAGGGTTTTCTGGTTCAAGACTTGCACTTTGATGGAGATTGGAAAAGAGACGAAGCTGGATTCGATGGAAGAGGATAGTACAAAGGGTTCGAGAGGTCGGATCCAAACTGAAGAGGAGTTGAATCATCGGTGTGAAAAGAAACCTAACGGTGAACCTATGGATGATCTGACCATGGACGAGGAGATGCAGGAGAAAGGGGAGGGAGTTGTTGTTTCCTCTTCGACCTCCCTTGTACTACCAGAAGGGGCAGAGATGGACCCCAAAGGGAACCCCCCCTCCAGGGTGGTGTCCTATAGAGACAAAATACTGCGATTGAACGGGAAAAGAGGTCTATCTGACAACGAAGAAGAAGATTGGATCACCAAGCAAAAAAAAAAAGAGGAGGAGGCAGATCTGATGGAGGGCCTGACTCAGGATCTCCCTGAAGACCCGCTCTGTCCGAGATACACGTTTTCCATGGAGGAACACAAAGCCGACTGTGAGAAATGGAAGAAAGCATTAATTATCAAGATGCTAGGAAAAAAGATCAGGGTCAGATTCCTTATGTCAAGACTGCAGAGGCTGTGGAACCTGGTAAATACTTATGAGCTCATTGATCTTGATAATGGATATCTCTTATTGTGGTTCCAAGACGACGGTGACTACTGTCATGTTCTTGAGGAGGGCCCATGGATAGTGAATGATCACTATGTGGTCATCCAGAGGTGGAGGCCATTCTTCGATCCTTATGATGAAGAATTCAGAAAGCTTGCAGTATGGGTTAGAATCTCGGGGTTTGCCTATTGAATTGTACGCAGCTAGACACCTCTGGAGAATTGGAAATATTTTTGGTAGAACACTCAAAGTGGACAGGAACTCTCTTCGTAAAAGTGATGTTGGAGACGAAGTTATAACTGAAAGAGCTAGATTTGCTCGGATATGCGTAGAAGTAGACCTTAGAAAGAGTTTCCTATCCAAGTTTATGATATGTAATAGAGTGCTTCAAGTGGGTTATGAGAGCCTTCATCTTATCTGCTTCAAGTGTGGCCTGTATGGTCACAGGAAGGACCAATGTCCTGCGGACCAGGGGCCTTGCAAACATCATAAAGGTGAGGGCTCAAGTCAGGGGAAAGATAGCATGTCTAACCCAAGGAAAGGTGTGACGAAGGAGGAGCAGGAAGATGCCTTTGGGAGCTGGATGGTTGTTCAGAGGCAATCTAGAGGACGCAAATTAAAAGCTAGACCAGTTAAGCAAAGTGGGAGCGAAGAGGGGGTGCAGGTTCAATTGGATGTAACTGGGAGTAATTGTGTTATTCCTCCTAGGAATGCTGAAGAGGTGGTAAATGAAAGTCAGCAGTTACAAGCTCAGAATCATACCATTCTGGCTAATCATGACTGTACTAGTATCTCAACTAGTAAGAAGGAGGTGAGATCCCCTAGCAAGGTTAACAAGGAAGCTTCTCCTGCTGGGGGAAGTTCTCAGAGGAAGCTAAAATCCCCAGAGAATTTTTTGAAGAGGAATTATATGAAGGAGGGGAAAGACAAAACTAAACCTCTTACCAAGTCAGTGGTTAAGAAGGCTGGTGTGGAAAATATTTCACCCAACTCTGTCATTGATGGGCCTTCTAAGGGTCTAAGCAAGAGTAGATCTAAAGGCAAATCAACTCCAGAAGTGAAAGACAGTGCCGAGGGAGGGAATAGCTTAAATGCCAAGAGAGGTCAGGGAGCTATTAGTCTGGTTCCTATGGGATTATTGCTCTCTGATCAGAACGAAATGGAGCTTGAAAATACCCTCATGATGGTGGGGGGATCTTCCACTCAGTAATTTATGTGGTAAGGGTTCTAGGGTTTCCCCTTTATTGCCTTTTATTTCCTTAGTTTTATGTCTGTTTTTTCTTGGAATTGTAGAGGTGTGGGGAAGAAAAGTTTCCCCCTCTCCTTAGAGATTTGAAATACAGGTTTAGAGTCAACATCTTGGCCTTGTTGGAAGTCAGAATTGGAGGCTTAAGAGGAGACAAGATCATAAAGCAATTGGGTTTTCCCAATTATTTCAAGCATGATCCTGTTGGGTTTTCTGGAGGCGTTTGGATCCTCTGAGATGATAAGGAGGTGAAGCTCGAGGTTCTGAAGTCCCACCATCAATATGTTCACACTAGAATTCAGTATCTGGATTCCATGAAGGTGGATCTTGTCATTTTTATTTATGCCAGCCCTAGGAGAATTGAGAAGAAGGTTCTGTGGAATGAATTACTCTCCATTAGTCACTCGATTGATGTTCCCTGGCTTTTATTGGGTGATTTCAATTCTATCCAGAATGGTTCTGAGAAGATAGGAGGGAAAGAGGTGTGTTGGAACAGCATAGCAGAGATGTAGCACTGTTTGTTCAATTGTAACATCAATGATTTGGGTTATAAAGGGCCTGACTTCACTTGAAAACGTGGAAGACTTCATGAAAGGATGGATAAGGTTTGTTCTAATGAGGAATGGAGCATCTCTTGGCCGAACAGATTTATCTCTCATCTTCCCTTTTTTGATTCGGACCACAGGCCTATTCTCCTATACAATGATGGGAAGTCCAGACCGCATGAGCACTACAAGAATTTCAAATTCCTTGCAGCCTGGCTAACTGAGCAAGATTTTAGCAACCTGGTCAGAAAAAACTAGGGAAATAATGAGGAGTGGCTTGCGGCTAGAAGGAAGTTTAAATTGGAAGCTAGCACCTGGCACCAGAATGTTTTCAGGAAGAACATCAGGCAGAAAAATAGAATCTACTCTCGGTTGAAAGGGCTGGAAAGTTACAAGTCTGGATTTTATGACCATAACTTGGAAATCTTACAGAGAGGTCTTTGGAAGGAGCTCCAATCCATCCTTGTTAAAGAGGAACTCACTTGGTTTCAAAGATCCAGGGTCCAATGGTTGAAGTATGGAGACAAAAATTCTAAATTTTTCCACTCTTCTACGGTTGCCAGAAGAAGACATAACAAAATAGTTTCCCTTAAGAATGATCAAGGCATCTGGATTACAGATACAGAGGAGCTGGTTAACATGGATGTATCCTTCTACCAGGAGTTGTTAAAAGTTGAGTAGGAAAGGGATGGAGTCTTTCCCATTCAGGAAGCTTTTCCTCCTTTATCTTATGAAGAGAAATCAGTTCTTGCTAGGAGACCCAGAAAGGAGGAGATTAGAAAGACTATCTTTAGAATGGGTAAGTTTAAAGCCCCTGGACCGGATAGGTTAAGTGCCATTTTTTTCAAAGCCAATGGGAGATTATTGGTGACTCGGTTTGTAAGTTAATTGATGAGATTTTTAGCAACCCTGATAAAGTGAGAGACATTAATGGCACCCTTATTTGCCTGATTCCAAAGAAAGATAGCCCAGCTGATATGATAGACTTTAGGCCTATTACTCTAGGCAATGTTATCTATAAAACTGTTATAAAGATCATTGCTGAGAGACTAAGCGATTTGATGCCCAAGATTGTTTCTCCAAATCAGTGTAGCTTTATTAAAGGTAGACAAGGAGCTGACAATATCATTATAGCCCAATAGATCATTCATTCTATGCGGGCCAAGAAAGGAAGTAAAGGGTGGATGGTGATTAAAGTTGATTTGGAGAAGGCTTATGACCGGTTAAGCTGGACCTTTATTCTGGAGACTTTGAAAGATATTGGGTTCCCTGAATCCATCATTCAATTAATTTACAGCTGTATTTCCACTACTTCTATGAATTTATTGTGGAATGGAGTCTCTACTAAAAGTATAAATCCGGGCAGATGAATAAGGCAAGGGGATCTCATCTCCCCTTACCTTTTTGTTCTTTGCATAGAAAGGATGGCCCACCTCATAAATGTGGCAGTTGAAACTAAGGCTTGGAGACCCATCAGGCTTAGGAAGGATGTTCCCTTTATCTCGCACCTGTTCTTTGCTGATGACATTATTCTTTGCACAGAGGCTAGTCTAAAACAAGCCCATGTTATTAAACAAGTATTGAAAATCTTCACTGAGGCTTCTGGCCAGAAGAAGAGCAGTGAGAAAATAAAGGTGTATTTTTCCAAGAATGTTAGCTTTGGAGGGCCAGAGAAATCAGTGATGCTCTGGGAGTTAAGATCACCTCTGACCTTGGTAAGTACCTTGGGGTACCCTTGCACCATAAGAGAATTACGAATAGTACATTCATATATGTCCTTGAGAGAGTACAGAGAAGACTATCCAGCTGGAATCAGTCGTCTCTTTCTCTAGCTGGAAGATCAACTCTTGCCAAAGCTGTCTTGGAAGCTATGCCAGTATATTATATGCAATCAGCAGTGCTACCAAGTGGGATCTGTAATGAAGTTGAAAAGATAACTAGGAGCTTCATATGGGGCTCTACTAGTGGGCATAGGAAGACTCATCTGGTTAGTTGGAGCAAAATTTGCCAACCTAAGAAAGAAGGGGGATTGGGATTTAGGGATCAAAGAAAGGTAAACAGAGCCTTTTCAATGAAGCTGGGATTTCAGGCTATTATCTAACAATGAGGACCTATGGGTCAAGGTTCTTAGAAGTAAGTATAAGGTGGATGTGAACCCTATTCCTCAACTTAATAGTTGCAGAAATATTTCAACTACTTGGAGGGGAATTCAATGTGTCTAGGACCGTGTCCAAGAGGGATCTGGGATAATTTTGGGGGATGGGACCAACACTGAGTTTTGGCTGGATAGTTGGGTCCCAAATGCTGGAAGATTGATAGATATTGTCATTGGAAATATTCATGAAGAAGCCATGAAGTGGAAGGTGGCAGATTGTGTTGTTGATGGTGATTGGAATTGGAGTTTGTTTAATCATTTTCTGTCAAATGAGATTATTTCTGCTATTACTAATATATCCCCTCCTAGAAGTAATGGAGGACAGGACAAAATAATCTGGAACTTATCTAGTTCTGGGAGCTTTTCAGTTAGCTCAGCTTATAATTTCCTTTCCTCGGACCAAAGGAGAACTATTTCTAAAGATTGGGGCCTGGTGTGGAAGTGGGAAGGGCCACAACGCATCAAATTCTTCCTGTGGCTTCTTCTTGGCAATTCCTTACTTACTAACGCAGAGAGATGCAGAAGACATATGGCAGAGGTGGCCTTTTGTCCAAGATGCCACTCTCTGATTGAGAATACTGATCATATCTTCAGAAGATGTCCTTGGGCTCGTGAACTGTGGAGTCTCTGGATAGAGGCTAGTGAATTAAACTCATTTTTAAGCAAGGATATGGAATTTTGGGTCTGTAAGAACCTTAAAAGATGCAACCAGAATGCTGATTAGAGGCTGAGATTTGGAATTATTTGTTGGTCTATATGGAAAGATAGGAACAACCTGATATTCAATGACAAGAGCAGCTCCCCCCGGGAGATTTATTCTCAGGTTTCTATCTTTGCTAACAATGTTAAGATGGCTAATAATATTTTATCCTCTGCGGGTCTGGCTTTGGAGAGTTACAAAGAAATTTTAGTTTGCTGGACACCCCTTCCTAATAGATGGATCAAAATTAATACGGATGGTTCTTGTTAGTATAATGGTGCTAAACTGACATGTGGAGGGGTCATAAGAGATGACTTAGGTAATTGGATCAGAGGATTTGCCAGGAAGCTGAGTAATGGTACGATTTTAATGGCTGAGTTGTAGGGCTTCATCATAGGTTTGGAATGGGCTTGGGAGCAGGGTCTTAGGCAGATCATCTTGGAAGGGGACTCCTTGATGGCAATTCAGTTGGTGGAAGAAGGTTGTATTAATTCTCACCCTTGTTTTACTCTTGTAAATAGGATCAGGTTACTAATCTCTAAACATTGGGAGGTGGTGTTGAGCCATATATATAGAGAAGGGAATCAGGTGGCTGATTGGCTGGCATCTCAAGTTGATCCCCCTGATTGGAGCACCCTCTGGTTTGTTAGTGCACCCGCGGGGTGTTTAGACTTAGTAGCTGATGATGTTCTAGGCTCGGGTGTTCCTATGAGTGTTAGTCTGTAGTTTGTTTTCCTTTCCTCTGTTTACAAAAAAAAAAAAAAAATTGACTCAACATTTCGAAAATATTTTGTCCTACTAAATAATTTTTTGATAATATTCCCGAAAAAATCACTTTCATATTATATTCTTGGAAATCTCGAGTAAAAAAAAAAATCTTCTACCGTTTCTCCTTAATAGATTCCTTGATCTATTCTCACCATTAGACTTGATATTTGTATACTATTTTTGAGTAACTGTAGTAAATAGTTAGAAAAAAATAGTCTTCATATATTTATTAAGGCGGTTTCCAGTATCGTCCTTATTTAAGTATAAGTAAAGTATTTCTTAGATCCTCAGCAAATATTATGGAGTCTAATTTAATTCTTTATAAAGAAAAAAAAAGTTGACTCATGGTTTCTTTGAAATTCAAAATAGACACATATTAGTTCTTTTTTTTTTTTTTTTGATAACATATATTAGTTCTTTTAATAGACACATATTAGTCGACTTTTTTTTCTTAAGGAATTAAAATGGGCTCCATAATTTTTGTTGAGATCCAAAATGCACTTTACTCTTTAAGTATTTAAAATAGGGGATTAATGTTTCTTGTAGGAGCTAATTTTATTTTCTACACATAAAAAAATGTGAGGTTTATATTTTTCTTTTTTTTTTCTCTTCTCTTCACATGAGTTCCACATATTTTTATATATGTATAGGAGATAAAATTATTTCTTACAATATAAGAAATAATGATCCATTAAATTAGTTGGGGTGTTATGAATTAAATATTACAAAAGTAAAAGAATAGTACTTTTGTGGGGGTACAAATCACTTGGGGCAGAAGACCACTGACATGGTAGTTGTAATCGAAGCAATTTTTGTATTTATTACTAGTAGTTTTGTTTTTTAGTTAACTCTGATTATTTCTTTGAGGTGAGTTGACTCCCTTCAATATTTCAATTCTTTGAGCCGGCTATAAAATTAATCGAAGTGCGAAGCGGATTAAAGTTAAAGATATATAACAATTACATATGCAATTCTAATTTAGAGATAGAGAGAGAAAGGAGAGTCTGAGATGGAATCGAAGGACGATGGCGCGCGTGGAGCGCGTGAGCGCACGGCAGAGGAGGAAGATCTGATCCAGAGAAGCACGAAGCCTAAAGGAGAGGCGATGGTTGATGAGACCATGGATGATGAAATGCTGGAGAAGCAGGAAGCTGGAGCTAGTGAGGGCAACAAAACCATCATCCCTGAGGAAGTGGTGTTCATGCAAGAGGTGCCTGGTAAGAAGTTCGTCTCATACAGATACAAGCTAAACAGGTTAAACGGTGGAGGTAATAACTCGGAGAGCGAGGAGAAAGATTGGATAGCGATCCAACGAAGGGAAGAAGAGGAAAATGGAGGTGAGGAGGATCTGGTCCCTCTCAAAAATAACATATAAAAATCGAACCAAAAACTTTTTCTTTTCGCTTGCTCAACTCTCTTTCTACCAACTAAAATATTATATTTACGAGTAGTTTAACTGTTTATTTTGGGATCTGCCTATTCATTATTTAGTGATGATCTAACGTCCTTGGAGGTGCTTCAATTTTTAAAATTTAAATTGCATATATTTATTTGTCTTTTTCCACCCAAGCATAATCTACTCTTTGGTGCAGATACTCTTGTTCACCTCTTAAAACTAAAATACAAGTTTACAGAATTATAATCATGTTTTTCTATGGCATCCTTAAATATTTCCAGAGCTCCTTGTACGAACACTCATCAATGTACTAGTCATAATATATTGAATGTTAATGACATGTAAATTGAACTATTTTTTGTGTCTAAACTACCTCATTAAATTGAACTAAAATACAACTCAGATTTTGCGTCTCCAGATGTATTAATCAAGTGATGGAATTGGAAAAGTAACACAACAATTAGGGTAAAATTATTACATATTAAATCTTCAAAGACAAGTTTAAAACAAAGGATTGAAATATAGGAGAAGGCTTCAACTTTTGATGCTTGAATATTAGGACATCAAGATCAAGCATATTGTAGTTGGATACTATGGCTTAACTTGAACAACAACTTTTCCAATATTAGAGCTAGAGAATAAGGAGCCTAAGCTATCTAAAAAGCTCTCAATTCCAATATTTATTTTATTCTTGGACTTAACCTTACCCTCTTTTATGTATCCTTCCATATCTTTAGCAAAATCTCCAAAACGATGCCAATACGATGCCAGCATAAAACCCTCCATCCTCACCTCCTTGCCCACCATATTCAGAAGATTCCTGACACCTTCTCTTTCAGTCCAAACCTGCACCAACATTAACTGATTACTACTTGGAAACGTATAAAATAAATTCTTAAGTAAAACATGCGTTATGTTTAAGATGCATTTATGTAACGAAGTGTATTATTATATTTTTATGACCCCAATTCACCTTATTATATTGGGATATCATCCCGCAAAGTGGTATCCTAGCATACTTGTTGACATGGTTAAGTACAGCTTCAAGCATTTTACCTCCAACGTTGTCAAAGTAAACATCAATGCCATCAGGAAAGTACCTGCGAAATTCTAGTTGTAATATTAGAAAATTTACCTAATTTCAAACAATTAAATTAGTTAAATATATTGTTATAAGGATTAAAAAAAATTCAATCTCTCTTAGTGCAAATTTATGTCTCATGACTGTTTGTGAAGTATACTAATTACTTGCTTTAAGCAATCTGAGAGGGAAGGATTTGATAAATTGAAAAAAAGAAAAAAAAATTACTTGCTTAAAGCGGCGTTAAAATCTGATTCCTTGTTGTAGTTGAATCCGTCATCATACCCAAATTCCTCTTTAATGAGCTTCACCTGAGAAACCAACCATGTAAGCTAGTTGAAAAGTAAATTGAAAGGCTATAAGGTAAAAGGAGGAGGACAAAAATGATACTATATGTCTTTTTTTTTTATAGATATACCACTAAATATGTTTTGTATCTCTACATCTTGGGGGTGCTCATGTCCATGCAAAATAATTTTAGTAGATAATTTTATCTCATAATTTACAGTTGGATTCAAAATTTCTTATCATTTAAATTATATTTATAGAATATTATATTAATCCAAAATTAATTAGTATTTCATTAGTATACATTAATTTTAATGCAATATATATGTACTTTTGAAATATATTAAAATAAGTCATTTAATTATACTCTTATTGTTGTACGACTTTTAAATTTTTTTGCATAAACAATTAAGATAATAGATAATTACAAATCAACATTTAGATCAATAAAAATCACATCATATACAAAATTAATAAATAGGATAAGAATTGTTAAGCCCTTGTTAATTTGTTTGCACATGGTGTATTGCAAAAAGGAATGTGCAAGTCTAGAGATGCTAATTTATGGGTTTTGAAAATGGGTTTAATATTTGTCTTTTTAAAGCACACAACTTGTGTATTTTTAGTAGGTTTACAGTATGTCTTACCAGTAAGACATGGTTATAATACGAAAAGTTGCTTTTTTCACTTTCCACGCCAAATAATATGACTAAGAAGAGAAAAAAAATCGTATTATAACTACATATATCTCTTACATGTAAGATATAGTATAAAGCTACTAAAATAACATAACAAAACACATATTTTTCCCTTTGAAAATACATAAGGTGTGAGGGAACAATATGTTCGTATTTAAATTTGACCGCGATTGATTGCTTCTGGTCATTGAGCCATATGGAAAATGAAATTGGGCTCGAAACATCTATTGATTACGACAGCAAAAGAGGAATCCTGCAAGTTCCATTTTGTTTCCAGCCCAAGACGGGACCATGCCAGACAACTAGGTGTGGGCTCGGAAGATGGGCTTCGTATCAATAATTTGTTTCAAGTTTACATTTACCGGAAAATAAAAATGACAAAAACTCTTTCAATTGATATAAGAGATTAATACTTCTCATGTTACACGATATAATATATCTCCTATCCATACATAAAAAAGTGTAAAATCCATATTTTTTTTTTCTCTCATCTCTTTACATGGTCCCCACATGGATCTTATACACTTTTATGTTTACGTAAGAAATAATTTTATCTCCTATAACATGAGAAACATTATTCATTTACTATAATTGGAGAAGAGAACAATTAATAATGGCCTTCATATATATATATATATATATATAGGAAGAGATCTTCCGACTTTGGTGTAAGACTTAAAAATCTTGCTCCTAATTTTAATTGTTGATTTCGGTCAATCTAACTACTATCATTTATTTAAAATGAATTAATTAATTAATATAACTCAATGAACTATAACCGTTAAATTGATGAAAATCAACGGCTGAGATGAACAATAAGACTTCTAAGTTACACTGAGTCAAAAGATCCCTATATATATATATATATATATATATATATATATATATATATATATATATAAGGATTTTAAACAATATGTTTTGATTGGTTTAATTAATAAAAAAATTCAGTTATGTTTTGGTTTAATTAATAAAAAAATTCAGTTATGTTTTGATTGATTTAATTAATTAATTTAAATATTTGATTATTTAAATGAAGTTAACCGAACAATATATGATAAGAAATAAGGAAAAATATTTGTCCTTTTAGAGGATATAAATCCTAACCGTTGATGACGAGAATTAACGGTTAGGATCTAAAATGACACAAAGTTATATCCTTTAAAAGGACAAATATTTTTCCCTAAAAAATAATAAGAACAAAAAAAAAAGTTTATAACATGAGCTATCTTAAATTTTTAAAACAAGAGGTAAGATATTCATACTATCACTTTTTCTACTACCATCATCTTACTACCACTCTCGTTATCATTGGATTCAAAAGTTATTTTTCTTTCCTATCTCTTCATTTAACGTTTTCTCTAATACAACGGTTATTAGAATGGTAATGGAGTGGTAGAAGAAAAAAAAAGTAGTATGAATATTTTCACATTAAAGAGATACTGAACTACATTTTCTCATATTAAAATTTCACATAATGTGAAATTTTTGTATTTATCTTTTTCTTCACATGTAATAAATAGGTGTGGTTCAATTATCATTAATGAAGAAATTGATAAATTTAAAAATATCACATTACCATATTATACCAATTTTTTAATAAATGATTATATTAAATTTTAGGGATAGGGTATTCTACATATCCTTATTTTACCTACATTTGTCTACCCCTCTCAACACCATTAGATTATAATCTCATATAACGGTGGAGATTTACGAGATAAAATAAATTTTTTTATCCCTTTCTTTTTCCTTACTGTCTCGCACCCTTTCTCTCTCCTGCCCTTTCTCTATCGACGAAAGACAGATGATGAATTAAAACTCGCAACAAGGTTTTATGTTTGTTACTAGAACTTCTGAAATAAATCTTTGTTTGTCAACAAAATGCAAGAATTATTTCCAACAAAAATTTATTTGACCCTTTCTAAGTCATACTATTGCTGAAGCGTACTAACGTTCGTACAATTTTAGTTGCTGAAGCGTCATTGAAGAGAGAGAAAGCTAAGGATTTGGTATTCGAATCACTGTCATACTATTGGCATCTTGGACATCAACCACGTTCAACAAAACTATTTTACAAGAGTCGTAAAAATAGAGTGAACAAAAAATCAATTCAAACTCACAAGGAATTTTGATCCTATGTGCTTCTCTGTCATTGTCTTCGTCAATAGAGAAAAAGGATGGAAGACACTGAGGGGGAAGAAAGATATAAAAGGACTTATCTTTTCTCGCGAATCTCCTCCGTTGAAGGAGATTATAATCTAACTATGTTGAGAGGAGTAGGCAAAGGTAGACAAAATAAAAATAAATAGAATAACCTATATCTAAATTTTAACATGAGAGAATTTCTTTCTACAAATACAGTGCATGTAGGGCCAACAATGAAAAGGGAGTAAAGAGAAGAAAAAAAATGTTGATATGTCAAAAAAATAATTTGTGTAAATAACATTGCCAATAAACAAAGAACAAAATATCTCAAAGACTTGTGCATTTATTTATGGATTTTAATTTTCTCATGTCATATGAAAAAACTCTTCTCATGATGTGATTCAATTTGATGAGTCTTACATTTATTAAAAAAAAAAAAAAACTTTACACACAAATTGAAGGGTCATAATATAAAAAATATCTTCTCATGCAATATGAGAGTATTTTTCCCATTATTTATTTGTTATTTATTAAGAACTAAGAGCTGTTTTTGTCCGCAAACTGCACGTTGCCAGTTGACATAGACTCACATGCTTTCAACGTGCAATGTGAACAAATAAATAATGTGTGTTAGCCATTAAATAAAAGTATTGAAAAGATACCTTCTCATCTGAGCCAGTACTTCCGATGACCCTACAACCACGGATCTTAGCTAACTGGCCAGCACTCATACCAACCGCTCCGGACGCAGCAGATATGAACACATTTGAGCCAGGCTTTGGGTCTCCCAGAACCTCTATCCCAACCCATGCTGCAAACCCTGGTACTCCTGTATTACAACAACCCACCACAACATGTATCACATATATAATTTACATGGTTACATTTGTTATCCACTAAACAATCTCATATTACTGTGGAGCAGAAGTTAATCTCATGCTACTTCTCACATAGAAAAATGAGTCTAATTTTTATTTTATTTTTTATAAAAAACGGTGAAGCACACTATTATTTGTCTTAGCAGAAAACAATTTCCATTGCACTAACAGGAGAAGTGTGTATATATATATGGGATATATTTTTTTATGTTATAAGAAAAAAAACTATCTCATGTTATAGAAATAAAAGTATAAGTGGAACCCACAGGTAAGAGGAGAGAGAAAAAGAGTGGTGAGACACAACCTCTTTTTGTATGTGTAGGAGAGTTGTTTATCTCATATAAAATGAGATAAACATAACCCTATATATATATATATAAAGGATATTGTAACAATTAATTAATGTTACTATCGATGTTACTACCAATTAATTTTACCGTTAAACCGATTATATTAATCCAACTGTTATATTTATTTACATTTTTGTATGGTTATGATTCCCCGTATTTAATACTTTATATTTATTTTTACCTTTGTAAGGTTATGATTTTTCATATTTAATGTTTTCACATTAAATATATGGAATCAAAATTATACAAAGATAAAAATAAATATAACTGTTGGATCTACATAATCAATCTAACGGTGAAATTGATTGATAGTAATATTAATAATAACACTAATTGATTGTTAGAATATCTTACTTCATATATATATATATATATATATATATATATATATATTTATTAAAGACAAAAAATAAGCATAGAAAACCAACCTAAAGAACTTAGATAATCTGGCAATGAAATCCCACTTGCTGCATCAATTTTTCTAGGTATCTGAGAAGCGGGTACGGTACAATACTCAGCTACAGGAGCAGATGGAACCAAAACAAGATCCCCCTCTGTATATTTACTGTCTTTTGATCGTATTACCCTTCCAACTGCAAATGCTGTAATCACCTGCAAATATTCCCATATAATAAAAATAAATTAAAAAAAAAAAAAAAGTTAGGCATGAGTATAAAACATAATTACTTGTGCCACTGTTGTGATTAGTACATAAATATAAGTATGTAGAATAAATAAATATACCTGATTAAGCTGATATTGTTGAATGAAAAGGCCGTCGAGGGTGCCAGTGAGCATGGTACGAAGGTATGGGTCAACGGAGAGAAAGAGAGTCTCAAGGGCAACATGTCCTTCAGGGATTGAATCAGAGGCCAATGAGAGAGTCACCGTTCGGAGTTTGAGATGATCAGAGGTTGGAACACCCTCGGGGGAATATGCAGCTAAGTACCATTCTCTGCTTTCAACCACCCACTTGTTATCTTCAACTACGCCTGCCATGGTTTCTAGTTTTAGTGCTACTACTTCATTCAACTGCAATGATTTGATTCACATATGAGTACACTTCTTTTATAAAGGGTTTTTGTTAAATTAAAAGCATAAAACAGATATTTTTCTACCTCTGCGCCAATGGTTGATTGACATATGGTTATAAATATTGAAAAATATCACGTTTGGTTCAGATTTTTTCAAAAAATACTAGGCAAATAGGATAGATGGAAAAATGAATTTTGTGTTGATTTTTGGATGAAATTCACTGTTACAGAATACCACTTGAGATGTGATATTTTGAGATAACTAGGGAAGTGAGAAAACAGGTGCAAAGTTTTTCCCGAACGTAGATTTTGCATATTTAAATAAATTTCTCTGGTAATATTTCGGTCAACCAAACAACTTTTTTTACATTTTCCTACCAAACTCACTCTCCAACTATTTTCCTATCAATTACATTTTCCTAGTAAAAAAAAAAATTTCCCGAACCAAACACTACCTTAAGCTATTCACCAATTTTTTTTTCAAAAGAAGGCCTAGTCAAAAAAATAGAATTATATTTTTCATACGCTAGAAGGAGGGCTTGAACCTCCGACCTTGTGGTTAACAGCCACACGCTCTAGCCAACTGAGCTATTCCAGCAACTGATACCTTCATTAATAAATATTTTATTCAACATTTAATGTATTTGTACAAACCAATTTGTCCAACCCAGCCATTGACCTGGTTGAAGTAATGAGTCACTAATCAATCGCATGACTCAATAAGTATATGCAAGTCTATAATTTATACTCAAATACATGTAAGAAAAATAATACCAATTTTAATATGAAAATATAATAAATCACATATCATTGTTCAATAAAAGATAAAAAAAAAAAAAATACTTGTGACTAGGGATGTAAATAGGCTAGGCTTTGGCTTAAATATGTCAGGCCTGTGCAAAAAAACATTGGGTATGGCCTGGCCTATTAGCCTGTGCAGGCCCCAAATCACAAGTCTGGCCTGACCTATATTTAAAATTAAAAGATTGGCCTAGGTTTGTTAGCCTGTTTAAGCCTATTAAATATTCAACAATTAAAATAATAACTAAAATAATATTATTTTATTATTCAAAATTATTAAAATAATAATTTTATTATTATATCTTAAATAAATAATATGATATAGGCCGGCATGTAGGCTTATAGGCCTGACAAATACAAAAAAAAAGTCTATGGCCTGTTTTCTAAATAGGTTTTCTTAAAAGCCTATGCCTATTCTATTTTACTATTTATAATAGGCCAAACATGGCCTAATATAGGCTAAGTCATAGGCCCCTGTGGGCCGGCCTAGCCCATTTACACCCCTACTTGTGACACTGATGCTTCAGGTTTAGTAGACGACATCTCTATGCCTATAAATTAGATCAAAATTTCTTGCATAGTGCATAACCAAGATAATATTAACGTTGTAGGTAGATAACATATGTAAGTCAATGAACCATAAATCACACAAATATTTCAAAAGATAACAAGTCATCAGTGAATTTAAAAAAATATCGTTTATGATTTTTTTTTATGAATTGTGTCGGGTCATCAATTTTCTCAAAAAAATCGACCGGATCGCACCGATTCTATTACTGGACTGATTCAAGATAAAAGTCAGACTGATCATATAATCAATTTACCGATTTTCGAATCAACCCGACCGATCTGATTTTTTCAACATTGCTACAAAATGTTTTCCATAAAGTTATATGGTCAATTCCAGTTTAAAATAGCATGCTTGCTACTTAGATGCCATTGTGATTTTTAGGCCCTTCTGCAACATTAAGCTTCATTAGAACATAGTGGTAGCCAAATTTTGAGTTTGGCCAATGAATCAATTTTTTTTAGAATAACAAACTTTCTTGATTATGTTCGGAAAATGACCAATGGAACCTGGAGCGTTGAAAAGCACATTCGTTAAGTTTCATAGTACTGCCACTCCATTCTAAAGTTAAACAAAAGTAGAGTTGAGTTAATTTAATTATTATTTTTTTAAATGTGAAGTTATTTTACTAAATTAAAAAGTATACTAATTTTTAAAGGAATTTTTATAAATGTCAATTGTTGAATAAATAAAGTACATATTGGCAACATATGACCCACATGAAGCGACGCAGTAAAACTAAAAGCACATATAGACAACATAAGGCAATTTAGATAGACACAAGGCAATTTGCACCAATCATAAGGATTAACTTTAACCGAGAGATTGTTCAAACGACAGAATTAAAGAATTTACAGCTAAGTTGATTACTTCACAAAGGTTATTTTTAAGTTCTATTCACATGGTTGCCGTTTGTGAATATTTCACACCAATATCCCAAATGTGTTCTCCCCGCTGTAAGTCATATACAGGAATCCATCTTCATCCTTATTTTCCTCATATATTGCAGACATCATAGCCGCTGCATGAACAGAAAATCCACAACTCAATTCACAAAAATTAGATACGAAGTTAACCACTATAAAGCAAATAATAATAATAATAAAAACAACAGTAATAATAATACATATATATTACCTGTAGGCGGTAAAATGTTCTTGACAAAAATGAAGATGGCCTTCTCAGGACTCAGTTTGATTCTCTTTCGCACCACATACACGAACTGGCCAACGGTTAGATCAGCAGGAACCAGATACCTACATTTCATCCAAACAATAACATATATCATAAATAAAGAGGGGAAAAAAATAAACACATGAGTGGAGGAGAGTAGTATCAGCAATTGATAATAAATAGAACATTCAGAAGCTTGTCCGCATTCTAAGTAGAATAATAATTTCATGCATCTAAAATTACTGTTGTCACAGGCAAATGAAAGCATAGACCATATTAAATATGCCCATATCCACTAAAGAACCATGTTCCACAGCCACTTTTGCTACTTATTTTCTCCACATTCAAAAAGCATTTTCCAAAATCAATTTTTCTTTAATTTTGGGAGGGGGTGTGAACAGGGCAAGGGAAAGTCATCCAACCTCCTATATTTAATAATGAAGGCTGTTGTACTAAAGAAAAAGGCTGTTGGAGAACAATAAATAATAAGCATATGTAAATCCAATCAGAACAAAGACTGCATGTATACGTAACTTCAATCCATATTTTCAACATTACCTTCAATTGTTATCACTGAAGCCTAAACCAAAATCCTAAAAAAAAATCCCTCTTTCACTGTTAATCAAATTAGATAGTTTTTACATCTTCCAGTGATGAAACCTATAAGTGGGATTTCACATTAATAGAACAATAAAAAGCATCTACCAATATAATCAGCTTAGTATTTTTTCGAATTTGTTTTATAATTGGGTTTTGTTATATTCTTTAACGTAATTAACCAAAAAAAAAAAAAGAACACAAGGCTTCTGCCTCAGTTTACCATGTTAAAAAATAAAAATTATTCAACAGTTTGTCCATCTAACTTTTATCCTCAATTCAACCAGATAGAAGTAGAAGCCATAAGGTTTGCAAGTTCAGGAACGATTCAGTTAGACGCCACAAATGGAAAAGCAATTAAAATTTAGCAGTCTCCAAATACATTCCATCCCAACCCCAACAATAATATGACCACAATGGCTCAAGTCCAAGTCAAAATAAGAGTCAATGTTTTCAAACTTCAATGAAAAAACGTAACTCACATCAAAATTTCAACCAGGTAAAGCATGATAAACTTAATGAAGAAAGTAATTATCGAAACAGATACTAATTCTTGAGAAGAAAATCAGAGTTCATAAACTAAGCCAATATTCACGATTTCTATGTAGGAAAAATAGAAGAAACTGACTTTTTCTTATCAATATCAGGAACATCACTCTTCTCAGCCCTTTCAACAATTACCTACACCCAAAAGATCAACCAAATTAATAATCAATAAGCAAGATTATCATGATATACACACACAACAGGGAGAAGAGGGGGGATCTTACTGGAATTCTATCAGGATACTTTTCTCTTATGCGAGCTGCTTCAGCCTGCCTCCTTTCTGCCACATAAAGTTTGTTATACAAATAAGAGAACATAATTTGTTAGTAACAGATACAAAAGTACGAGTTTATGTGCAGTAAGGCATGATGTTTAGCTTTAGCGGATACTTTTTAACAATGTAATAAACAAATCAGATCAACTGTTAAAAAAGAAAACATTGTTTTAAGTTATAACTCACGTATCAACAACTAACCCCCATTCACAGGAAGTAACACATTTGATCAGCCAACCAAAAAAAAAAAGAGAGAGTAATTTTTAAGCTATATTCCTTAGGTCATCATTATTTACACTAAGGTAAATGGAGAGATTTTTTTTTAATAAAAAATAAAAAGGCACAAGAAATTACCACTTAAATGAACAGAACTTCGTATCCTTTTTATATCCCAAAATTACAACAAAAATAAAACAAAAAAGGTGTCTTGACATTTCTCTGATACCACAAAATTCAAAAGCCCTTGACCATTACCCAATAATCCGAAGCATAAAATCAAGTAATTGGCGTTATAAAATATACTATTCAAAGCAAACCAACAAAAGGAAAATTGGAGAAACAGGAAAAAAAAATAGAAGAAAAATGGGAGAAACCAACCAAGAGGGTGTTCCATCTTGAATGAACTCTTAGCCATGGCAATAATTCTGCAGCAGAAAACAGGGGAGAAAAAGTCCTAATTAGGAAGTTAGGGTTTGCTGCGAGGGGCAACGATGATCAAACAACGAAACGAATTAGATTCAGAAAACGAAAAACGGAAAGAAATTTGAAAGTGACAAAAGGAAAATAAGAGATTGCTTACCAAAGTGGTGGAAAGAAGAGCGAAGACAAAGAGAGAAGAAAGGAAAGCAAAGGAAAACGTTTCTTTTGTTCCGTGTTCTTTACGCTGGGACACTTGCCCTGTAATTGAGAATTGGGAAACAGGGAAAGGCCAAGTTAAACAACACCGTTTCTTAAAACTTTTGCCAACAGATTATAGTTAAAATGTTGGGAAATGTGAGTGTCATGTTACATGACACATCTTGTGTCATGTAATAGGCACAAAAAGGTGTGGATCCCATTAAAAATAAAAATAAAGAAAAAATAAAATTAAGGTGTGGATCCTACATTTTTGTGTCTATGGTATGACATAAGATGTGTCATGTAACATGACACTCACATTTTCCTAAAATGTTTATTATTTGTCACATCATATTATAACGGAGATTATACTTACTACTTCTTATTCTTACTACATCATATTATTGGGTCATAGTTATATTAATATAAAGTTGTTTATTGAATTTTGAGTAATGACTTATGTGATATTTGTTATATATACAAATATAAATATATATATATATATATAATTTTATTTCTTGACCTTAAGTAGTAAAAATTTTATGTTTTATCTCGTTTCTTCGATTTACGTTTCTATCATTCCCTTACATTTCTACGTAAAAACTCAATTTTAACAACATTACTGATAGTTGAAGACTAGAGGCGGGAGATCACATCTAGTAAACCTCTTCCAACAAAGTCTTCTTCCTACACACGACTAGAGATCAAACCTCTATCAACATACTTAAGAAACTCAATTATCTACCCACTATGCAAGACCGACATAAGAATAATAAGTCTTATATCAAATTTTAATTATTGATTTACTTGTATCTAACAATTTATATTCTAATAAATTAAAATCATTAAATATAAATAAAATCAACGATTAAGATTACAAATATAATTTACACCGATATAAAATGTTTTTGTGATCGAGTTTTTTCAACTAACCAAAATTTGAATACCAATCATAAACAATTTTTAAAAAAATATATATAAAAGAATTCCAAATACATGTAACAGCAACATTGAAATTTAATTGTAATATCAATAATATACAAGATTTTTTACATTAATAAAAAAGTTTACTCAACTGATCCAATAAAGTTTTGTATTTGCGTATGGATCTGTACCTCTACCTCCTACATTTTAAGACGATGCTTTAAGATGTGGGAATCAAATAGTTTATCTTTCCTATCATTTTCCCTCACCCAAAAAGAGCTTGACTCTCGTAATAACCCTTATCTGAACAATTACATTCTTTTAATAAGTGGCAGACCTCCGACTTTTTAGGATCAAGCGAAAATAAAATATCAAAGTAAGTGTTATTAAAATTAATAAGAAGGGATAACTATTACAAGTGTTTTTGAAAGAGAGGTTAATTATTAACATTAATAGTCTATAATCATTAAAAATATCAATTTATATATAAATAAAAAAAATCGAAGTTCCTCCTCTTCGGTTCGTTGTTGCTTTTAATAATGTTTATAATATATGATTGAGGGATTTAACATTATATTAACAATGGGTCAGAATTATTTTATACCAATATAAGTTATATTTTTAATTTTGATCGTTAATTTTATTTATATCTAACAGCTCTGATTTATTAGACATATTATCCATTAAGTGCAAGCAAATCAATGGTTAAAATTTAATATAAGACTTGTTATTCTTATATTTGTGTTAAACGTGAAATTGCATTTTTTTTTAAATTAAAAAGCTATGTTAAATATGCTTGATCATTTCAATGTTCCTTGTCCATATGTATCACAGAATAATCATTTACGTCTCCTTCGAAGTTTGTTTTGGCTATACCTGCAGGAAGTTTTACGAGTCACAACCTTCTTCTGAAGAGAATAATTCCAGAACAAAAATGGCAATAATTGCTTTTCCATTTTTTCAGTGTTTTATCTTTTTACGCAATTTCCTTCATTGGTTGCTTTAGTCCAGTTTCTTCTTGACTATGAACTATTTTTGTACTCAACTAAAGTTAAACTCTTAAACATAAACTGTATTCCACAAGTATGGGTGTTAACGGGCCGAGCCGAACCGAACTTTGGTCTTAAAAGGTTAAGTCTGTGATTAAATGTGTCGGCCTTACCAAGCCTGTTACCTGTTACAAATATAATTATCGGCCTGTGGCCTGCCTTATTTACAAAAAATAAAAGCCTAATTTCACCTGTTAGCCTGTTAGAAAAAAATAAGAGAATAAAAATTTATCCAAACAGAATATACAATCAACAACACTAGTAATTTCATAAATATTCATAAATTCAATGTATATCGAAACAACATAATCTAGAACAAAATCATTCAAAAAGTATGTTTAACTAATAAAATAGGAGTGAAATGCATTGAGAGGAGAGAGAGGACTATTATAAATAGTATAAAAAATATAAATACAAATAAAAATTAATAAATGAGTTTTTGAATTGGAGCCTGAGGTCTTTTTTACTAAACGAGCTTTTATACAAGTCTAAACTTAATTCCAACAATCAATATTAAGCATATAAGCATGAGCCTTCACGAGCCGAGCCAAAGGCCTCTGAAAGACTGTAGCTCGTTTATCACCCATATTCACAAGGATAAGTGGGTTTTATTTCTTTGTTGGAGGATGGGAAATTGATCGAATGTTTGGTGAAAGGAGAGTGGGTTGTACCTGAAACAACTCGAAATTGTGTGTGTGTGTGGTTGTGGGGAAGGGGGTGGATGGGCTCAACCTTGAAAAACAAAAAAAAGAGAGGAGAAAAACTCCTAAATACGACATTAATTCAATTTCTTATATATCAACTACCGTTATAATTATTTGATTGAGGATGGGGAACGGAATTGAACTAGGTTGAGACAAGTTTTTTATGAAATAGACGAGCTGTTTTTAGGGTTGTGCATGGGTCGAACTGAACCGATTTTTTTGAAAAATTGAACCAAATTGGTTTAAGAGGTTTGGTTCTGTTCAGTTCAAAACTGGTTCGGTTCGAAAGTGATTCGGTTCGGAACCGGTTCGGGTCGACCCTCTTTTGAAAAGAAAAAAAATTAAAATTTTAAAAACTAACATTATAAAAATCAATTTGGTTCGGTTTGAAAACGGTTCGGTTCGGTTCGGTTAGGTTCAAAATGGTTCGGTTCTTAAACTGGTTTAAAAATCGGTTCGGATCTTGAACTGATTCTAAAAACCGGTTCGGTTCATGAACTGATTTTTAAAAATCAATTATTTTAAGGGGCGGTTCGGTTCGATTCATGGTTCGGTTCGATTTTTTTGTTATTTTATACATCCCTAACTGTTTCACAAGTTTAAAATCTCTTGACGCTGACACATTTATTTAATATAACTTCATTTGGCTTAACTATTTTTCAACTTTTCGTCTCCTAAAACAAAAGAACCCAAGCTTAAAACAAAATAACAGCTTTTTTTAATGGGAAAAAAAACATTAAAATAATTTTATGAAAAGTTCCCAATTGGAGCTTCCAGGGTTTAGCTTTTAGCTTATTTAAAAGAAATACACATATCACTCATTTTATAATTTTTTTTTTTTGGGTAAACCATTCATATAATCGTCTTTCCCAGTCAAATGCAACTCATGTAGGCCTCGGATTTTTTTAATATGGCCCCGCACCACGATGAATTTGGTGGTCTTTTACTAAAACAGAAAATATTTTCTTTCATTTATATACTTATTTTTCTTTTAAATTCTCTCTCAATTTTTTTTTTTCTCCTATTTTTGAAAAGGGAGCACAACCTCCCGGTTCACAAAACAAAGATCGTAGGCCTCATGCTCAAGTTATTAAAAATATTTATTTTTTAATACATTAGTATGTTAAAAAATTTAAATTTTTTTGTTTATATAGACAAATTTTTAATAAATACAAAATTAGTATATTTATAAATATATAATCATATATTGACATATTAATAAATATTTTTATATTTATTTTTAAATATATTAAAAAAGTATTTGTTATGTTTTTCAGAATTTTTTTAATTTTTAGTTATATTTATGTTTATACAAAACTTCTTTGGCACTATAGACATTTGTAATTATATAAATTTTTGATAATTTTAATTAAAGTTAAAGTTTATATAAATTATTTTATGAAACAATTTATTGATAATTTGAGTTTCAAAGATAAAAAATTATGTGATCGTCAAATAGTTTTATTATAAATTCGTATTTTTAGTTTTAACTTTTTACTAACTTTTAAGTTAGAAAAAACTAAGTCAAATATAATTTTAATCCTTTTAAAAACTTAACACGACATAATAACTTATTTTAAATAAAATAATATTGTTTATCATGTTGTATATTATCCATCAATTTATTAGTTATTTGATTAATCTGATTCGAGACAAGTAGGATTATATGAAAAGTAAAGTTTTCCTTATTATTTTTTAACATAATTGCATTCCTAGAGACTCAAATTCAATTTCATTGATTAAGCCGAAACAACTCCTTACTAATTGATTCATATCCCTTCTGATAATAAGTCTACCTTTAAATTAGTTAATGGATGTAAGTTCTTTTAATATTAACTGGTCTAAACTTTTATATAGGTTAATAAATGTATAACATTACAAAATTAAAATTAAAATTTAATATTATAATAATAACAAAAACTCTGCCCATGTATGCTTGCATGCATGGCCTGTCCCAAGCCAGGATAAAGGAGGAGGGTTGGCGTCAGGTGTTGCGAACCGGCCGTAAAAAATAGCTATATTTTTATGTGATGACCACCGACCCCAATTAATTTGGGATAAAGGTGTTGTTGATGTTGATGATATTGATATTGATGTATTATAATAATAACAAAATATTTTTTGTAAACAAAAATGTCAGGTCTATAGAGGGTTTTAGATAAAGAGAAAAGTTAGCCTCACTTGCTTAATAAAAAGGTAAGGTTAGACTACATCTTTGCCATTTTTTCAAGACCTCCGCTGCCAAAGTCCCTTGTTCGTCTGACTTTTTCTTTTGCTGCACAAAGAGAGAAAAGGCATAAGTTCTAATATAAAATTATTGAAAGTTTATCACTAAAAAATTTAAATTTTTATGTTAAAATAGTTCTTTATATATAGTATTAGAGCTTATGTGGCCGGTCGAGAGTTCAATTTTCATCATCTTCAT